CGTTCATGCTCGTGCAGTCTCGTGGCCACCCATCTGCCGGTTTCGCCAACATTATTGGCCTGACCGCAAAGACAGTCGATTCGGTAAATAACACCCGATTTCAGGTTGACGGGTATGATAATCCCGCGATATAAGCCTCGTTTGAGTTCGGACCAACAGTCGATGGTTGGTTCTTGCAGGATTGTCCAGATACGATTCTTGACAGGATCCCCTATGAGCTGGGCTATAAGCCACCCAAGGTGTTGATAGGCACAATGGCCAATGAGGGCATGTACTGGCTTCTCTATGGATTTGCACTTAACAATGTGACATTTCTGGAAGCCGATGGCACTGTGTTCTTGCCAACTTCATTGAGGTTATGGCAAGCAAAGTTTGATTACCAGGACCTAACCTGGGCAAAGATAATGAGCGAACAGAATCTCAACGCCTCAATCATCGAAATCGCTAGACATAAATTGGACAAATTGTACAAATTCAACGAAAACTATCCTACAAATAATATTACCAAGTCTATGGAGATAATATATCTTCTCTCCGGGGACATTGAGTTCACATGTGTGACGCAGAAGTTTGCCGATCGCATTGCAAAGATGCCCGGTACCGACGTCTACAGTTACGTTTTTGTTCATAAGACGAAAAATAATGGTTTCCCCAACTGGACAGGCGCTATGCACGGCTACGAAATCGACTACGTCTTCGGAATGCCATTTTCCGAGAAGTGGCAGAATGTATTTTATAATTACACATATGACGAGTTCGTGCTGAGACTATTTGTAATGAAACAGTGGGCGAATTTCACTCGAGTCGGGTAAGTTTTCGACCAATGTTGTACCTGATGAGGACTTAGTCTAAACAGTTAATTTACCTAACGTCACTCTCCCTCCGCTCTTCAGAGATCCGAGCAAACATGAATATATAGAGCCAATGAGCCCCCGCTGGCCGAAATATGATGTGAACTCGCGAAAATTAATGGAAATCGGTACGACATTTAAAGTCAAGGAGCATCATCGCACGGAGTTCTGCAGGTTCTGGAATGAAGACCTGCCTAACTTTGTCCGAAACAAAATGAGGGAAGAACGCAGAGAGCCTAAAGACCTCTGTCCGAGCCTAGAGCCTTACTTCAATGAACACAGCAAACTGTATAAATTTATCAGTGTGCTTAGGAACGGTACTACTACTGAGTCTCCATTGACAACTACTACGTCTGGCTGATATCTGTGAACTTCATGTGGGTAATGAATGATGGCAATGGAAATAAAGGAATGAAAAAACATGTTCTCTTTTGCTTTTAAACAAAGAGAGGGTAATCCATTATTGCGGGTATAATAAAGGGTAAAACACGCTTGCTTTCAGAACGGTGAGATTAACCACTCAGTCTGCTCCTACGCAGATACCTTTTAACAACACATCAACTACAGCAGACTAGTTTTCTGTAGCTGTATCAGGTATATGACTCGTCAGTGTGGGGGGTATAGGTCACAGGAATATACCTTCGAGTAACTCATCGGAGCAGAAAGAAGGCCAGCTTAAAGCAGACAAAAGTCAGCCAGCTGGGTCAAAAGTACTAATTCAGTACACGGGTAACTAGGGCGTCAAAAGAGGTCGCGGCTTTCGTGTTTGATGAGCACAGACGCCGATATAGGTCCTACTGTTATGTCCAAATTTAAGCTTTCCCACAGCTAATGTGGGATGCGATCAGCTAAAAGCGGTATAAGTACTGGGATTCTGATTATTAGTGAACCCCACGCTTTACACAAGAAATGCACTTTGTACATGAGAAATGTAAAGAATCATTTAATAGAATTTATTAGTGAGTCCTACGCTTTACCTACCGAA